ACACACACACACACACACACACACACACACACACACACACACACACACACACACACACACACACACACACACACACACACACACACACACACACACACACACAATAAATTTATTTTATAGGGGCAGTGCAAAAAACACACAGTTCAATAACGTTGAGCGATATTGAAACAGTTATAAAAGCATGGCTTGTAAAAGCAAAGTTTAGAAATGCCAAAAAAGCAAAAGAAAGTAATAAGAAGCAACAAGAAGAGGCAACAAACGCATAATACACATAACTTATGAAAACATTCTTTCTTATTAGAAAAATATTCTTTGTTATCATAATAAAGTATATGTTGCAATATGTTGTGATACTTTATAATCCTACATCTTTATATTTTGATGTATTCAGACGAGTCTATACTACCTATACTTTTATTTATCTACGGATTTTTTAATTGATTTTCTGTCTATTGGCATCTTTCCTCACAAAAAAGTGATTTAATTTCGTTATCGCCATCTCACTGTTTGATTTTTAAATAAGATTAACCATTTAAGTTCGAGCATTTAATTCGTATGAATGTCTTGATTATCTTTTAGTTACCTTATCTTCATTAATTATCTAGATTAATAACAAATATAAAAGTACCTTATATGCAAGTGCAACATTTTATTATAAGTGCAGAATTACATAAGTCAATATTTTATTGTATACTTACATATTTATACATATATATATATATATATATATATATATATATATATTAATTATAATTTTGTAGGTATCAGAAATGTATTACTATTACATATATGTATATAATAAAATATTTTAGCGTCCTTTATATTTTTATTTCTTTTCTATTAAAATATGTATATTTGTACATATAAATATATCCCGTTTTAATAATAATTTACAGGTCTATTTTATAACTCTTAATGACTGTACAATATATCATTACATTATCGTTGTGCTTTTTTACTATGTACAAAAACCTGCGCAATGATTAATGTAATCGATATAGTTATACAGTTGTTAAGAATTACAGAATAGCTCTTACGGAAAAAGACACTGAAAATTTCGAAAAACCACTGAAAATGAAGGGTTAACACTCAAATTTGAGTGGTTTTTTCGAAATTTTTAATGTCCTTTTCCGTAAGGGAGACTCCTTAGTTTTAGGGAGAATATTTTGTAAATATTCTTTATATTGAACTAAATACGTTCTCTAAATATTCTTAGAATATGAAAAAGAATATTTATTCCGACCTATCTGGAATATTTAAATTGGTCTCATTTTGACATTCTGTGTATGTTTATAGAATATTTTTTAATATATTGTAGAATATTTTAATATTCTCAACGAATGTTTATAGAATATTTATTGAAAGTGTTTGTGTTATCTGGGACTATACCATATTACTCCCATTGTAGACGGCCTTTTAGTATTCCCTATATTACAGCTTATCTAACTTACCATTACGTCCCATCGCTTCAGCAGCCCCGAGATTCCGAAGCACCATAGCGGTCATGTCAGCTTTCTGACGTGCCATATCGTATCGTCTTGGATCCAAGGCGACGTCAGTTGGAAGAGATTTAAATCCCTCCATAGTGACACAAACTTCGCCCAGTGAACCTGTCGATGCCGCCTCTATTACATCCAAGGCTTCCTCTATAGTCGCCTTCGAAAGAATTGAATTACAGGATATTAAAAAAAAGAGCGAAGAATTGCATTATCTTGGGCTGTGAGTAGTATATATATGAGAGTTCTAACTCAGGAACTCCGAGGGGAATGCGGGGCGCGGGGGA